CCGAAAGAATTTCCCCAGTGTTAGTAGAAGACTAGGACCATAAATAGTCTGGCAAGGTTCCTCTGTACCAAAGGTGGTAACAGATTCCTGTTTTTGCTTCTCAATCCCTTGTTGATTTCCTTAACCCCACTCACATCTCTGTAAATAAGCCCTTATTCAAATTCTCTGCAGGTAAGCCCTTTTGAGTGTGCCGTACCTTTTTTTCCTGTGAAATTGACATTGACTGATGCATATGATTGTTTAAGGAAATTTAATATTAATCAAATCTTCTTTTTTTTTTTTTTTTTTGAGACAGAGTCTATGTTGCCCTCAGTAGAGTGCTGTGGTGCCACAGTTCACAGCAACCTCAAACTCTTGGGTTTAAGCGATTCTCTTGCCTCAGCCTCCCAAGTAGCTGGGACTACAGGCACCCACCACAATCCCTGGCTATTTTTTGTTGCAGTTGTCATTGTTGTTTAGCTGGCCTGGGCCAGGTTCGAACCCATCAGCCTTGGTGTATGTGGCTGGTGCCATAACCACTGTGCTATGGGTGCTGAGCCAATCAAAGCTTCTCTTGAAAATTATTAAAATTTATTAGAATTGGCTGGGCGTGGCCTGTCTCTCCTGCGTCTTTCCCATTCTTACTGACCTGAACCTTCCCCTGCACCCAGATAACAGGGAGATATAGGGCTCTAGATCCAGTATGCCTGACTCCAATCCCCTCTGTGTTCTCCTAAGGTAATGAGTTTCACTTTCCTGATGTGAAAATGAGATAAATGCAACACCAAAGACCAAGCGTGTCTGGAGCATCAAATGATATAATAATATTCATTTATTCCTTTCTCCATCAGATAGTTTTTGAAAATCAGCCATGAGGTTGCTGCTATACTAGGGATGCAATGGCGAGCAAAACAGAAGTGGTACTGCCTTTGGGGGTACAAGGGAAACAGTCAGTGAACACACACACAAATATACACAATTATAAATTCCAATTAGGACGGTGACCCTAAAGTGCTGGGTGCTAGAAGGACACCATGAGAGGACTCTGATCTAGTCTGGAGGCCAGAAAAGTCCTCCTTGAGGAAGTGACATTGATCGATTGATTGATTGATTGAGACAGCATCTTACTCTGTAGCCTGGGCTAGAGTACAGTGGTATCATCATAGCTCATTGCAACCAAAAACTTCTGAGCTCAAGGGATCCTCTTGCCTCAGCCTGTGGAGTAGCTAGGACTAGTATAGGTATATTACACCACATCCAGGTAATTTTTTGTAGAAATAGCACCTTGCCACATTCCTCAGGCTGGTCTTAAACCCCCAGGCAATCCTCCCATGTCAGTCTCCCAAAGTGCTGAGGTTACATGCATGAGCTACCACGCGTGACCAGAGTTAAAATTTAACCAGACACTGAAGGTAAAAGTCAGACAGACAATACAGGTGAGTGAAGGAATCTTTGGGGGAGAAAGAATAGCAGGTGACAGCTTGAACAAGCTTCCTGGTTCATTGAGATACTAGCACACTCTGTTTAGAAATTTCCCCACAATTAAGGGTCTAACCTCACACATCCATAGCTTAACTCTCATCCTGGAGCAAGTGACACCACTTCCTCTTTCCTTTAGATTATGGCAAGCCAGGTATGTTGTCCTACTCCTTCAGTCCTCTGAAGAGCTGACCCTTCACCTTCTTCTTTCTTTCAACATGTATTTATAAAGCATCAGGAAGGCTGGATTTGAGGCAGAGGAGGAAGGCTAGTGACTGTGTGGGTGAGAAAACAATCCCACCACTCACACAATGGTTCACACAGCCAATGAACTGAGCCTACACCGAGCCAGCCTTGTGGGAGGCTCCAGGAGCAGGAAAATAAATAAGACACTGTCCCCTTCCTCTGGAGCGAGGAAGATGCTAAGGAACTGGCACTACCACTTTAGCGGGGTGAAAAAAAATCACTCAACTCCCTTCTTCCCAGAGCACTTCTCCTCTTGGCAGAAAGTGCTGCTTTAACTGGACAGGCATGCAAAGCTGGCCAATCATTTTTGGAAGGAACGGCCGTTCAGGAACACCTTTCAGAAGACTCACTTACGGCACTCACACATTTTGGGTGGATCTGAGTTCCCTGTGGGCCCCTCAAAGCTTCTTCCACAAGCCACAATCAGTAGCCTGATTGCGAAAGATGCAGAGTTTGGCCTTTGGCATAGCAAGACTAGAGTCAGAGCTGGGTGCCAGGAGTGGCCGGAGTGACCAAGGAAAGAGGAGATTTAAATTATTTAAGAACTTGTCAATTTGTCAGAGGTGGCAGCGAGAAATGGGCCCACAGCCAGTGAAAAGTATTATAGAAGCCCCATCATGGGGGTAAAATAGTACCTGTCACACTGAAAAAGTCTGGGGTCACCGGGAGCAGTGGTTCACGGCTATAATCCCAGCACTTGGGAGGCTGAGGCGGGTAGATTGCCTGAGCTCATAGGTTCGAGACCAGCCTGAGCCAGAGCAAGACTCCATTTCTAAAAAATAGCCAGACATTGTGGCGGGCGCCTGTAGTCCCACCTACTTGGGAGGCCGAGGGAAGAGAGTCGCTTGAGCCCAGGAGTCTGAGGTTGCTGTGAGCTATAATACCAGAGCACTCTAGCAAGGGTGACAAAGTGAGACTGCCTCCAAAATAAATAAAGCAAGAAAGAAAACAAAAGGTCTGGGGTCACAATTGGGAGAGACCACCCTTGGGCTGATCCGAAATAGGGCCTGCAATGTGATGTGCACAGGCTGGCAGCCATCAGGGCTCCACTGTTCTCTAGTAGCCATTTCTTCTCCAGTTCTCAGAGCAGCAGCAGACACTGCTTGGCTGTGGATCTGGATACCAAGGGACTATGGCCAGCTCTGCTGTGGAGAACTGGCATAGAGCCCGTGATCAAGCTGAAAAAGAGCAAACCCATCCTCCTTTCACTAACTTCCCCCTTCATGTTAGTCAGTCCCAGAGCTGAGACATTCAACAAACACAGAGGATTTACCTTGGAACCACAATCACAGATGAGGGCTGTGAGGCAGGAGTTATGGCTGAACCTGTCCCTGCTTCCAACTCACAAGAAGAGCTGGTGGAGGAAGAGCTTTCCTAGTTAGTGTTCAAAGCAGCCAGCACTGGCTTTAGAGACAGGGTGCAAGTCTTAGCCCCATCATTGGCCACAAAAACTCAACCAAGTCAGGAAATCTGTCACAGGCTGAGGTTTTCATGTCTGTAAATCACCTGACAGATTATTACAAGAGCTGAATGAAGGAGGATAATGGAAGTGAAAGCTCTTTGTAAAGTCATTATATAGATGTCTTTTACTACCAGCACACAGTCAGTGCAAATTTGTGATTGGTCTTGTTAAAGATAGGATAGCATTCCCTTATCTGTCCAGAGCTAGAAAATAGTTATCTGCAATTGCCACTTCAGAATCCCCTCACTGAGGGACTCCCTCTTCTTTTCTGCTGGCTGTTGAGAAGCTCAGACCTGAATTTGGGACTCACCGGCACCAAGGTTGTAGATCATGCTGGCATTTTTTTCTACCGGTTTTCCACATTCATTTGGTTAATTTATTGATTGCCATTTTCCCCTTTCATTTACACTACTTTGTATGTCTCCTTATCTTAAATCCTCTGGAAACCCACAAGGCATAATTAAACAGTATTCCTTTAAAATTATTGCCCATCCTATACGCATTTGGCACACCATCCTTATTTCTACTTAAAAAAAGCTTGTGTTTTCTAGGTAGCTGGGTCATTACAATACAATGCAATCACAATTGAGATGAGCACCGCCGGTAGCTTTTGAAAAGGGTCACGCAAAATTTCATCTGAAATTCACCAGACTCTTTCCTTCACACACAGGCAATTTCTTGGCCTCCTGTCTGTTTAGAAGGATTAAAATCACACTCCAGCTTTCCTCTCCCTGAATCTTTTGCCAGAATAGTTCAGGTGAAGAGCCGGGAGAAGCAACTGGGTGGAGGCGGGGCATGAGCTTCTGGCCAGGCTATGAGGTTGGTGGAGCGTGGACTCAGCAGGAAAGGAAAGGTCCCGCCACCGCGATAGGGAACAAGCGGTGGGCGCCGAGGTTGTGTTTCTTGGCGAGGTGGACAGGGAAGCCCGGTGACCCGCCGAGGAGATGAAAGCCATCCAAGACAGAGATCGGACGGTGCGTGTGTCGGGGTGAGAGGTATTGGGAGAGAAGTTCTCGTGCAACGTGCGCTGCAGGTTCACTGCATTGTGTGAGGACTGGTTCCTGGTTTGGTTCCCTGGGGAAGACGACCGGAAGCAGGAAGGGAAGCCCGGTGACCGATTGCTCCTGGTGGGGGAAAGGGACAGGATAGACCTCAGGTCCCGAGGTTCCCTGCCCAGCCTCCCCCGCCCCTTTCCATCCTGAAGTTTGGGTAAAACTCAGAATCTATACGATGCCCTTCAAAGAGACCCCCTCCCCACTACACACGCGGTGCAGCCCACGGGCCTGGGGGCAAGTGGAGGCGTCTATTTTTAGCTCTGAATCCCAGAGACATAAAGTGCTCTACTCGCGAGTCACCCAGACTCGGTTTGAATCCTAGTTCCTCCATCAATTAGCTGGTTACCCCCACTTCTACCTCAGTTTCCTCGTCTGAAAGGTGGGGCTGATAACTGTATTCACATCTTAGGGCTGTTGTGACGAATAAATGACACGCAGATAAAGCGTTTAGCTCTGAACCCACTACTTACCTAGTGAGTACCACCGGCAGGGTCAATAGCCATTACTGTCACCTTCTGGAGTTCTCCTGGGGGCGGGGCAGTGGCGGGTCTGTGAGCTGCACGGTCTATTGGTTCCTAGACCAGGACAGAGATGCCTGCACACGCCAGCGTCCCAGTCTAGGCGCACAGAAACACCTAGGGCGTGGCAGGTGCCGGGGGCGGGTGCGGCTCCAAGCTCTCCTGGCTTCCTCCACCTGCCCTGCTACGGGGTAGGTGCCAGGACTGTGCAATAGGCGGCTTGGCTGCCGGGTTGGAGAGGTGCGGCCGTCCAAGGGCAGCGGGATCCGGGATGACTTCGGGCGGGTGAGTGCCCCTCAAGTAGAGGAAAGTGAGAAGACAAACTTACCAGCCCAGCATGTAGCGCCCCGGGACCTTTCTGTCCTCTCCCGAGAGGGCAGGTGATCCGGATGCGGAGGGAGCGGGCATTTGGCGTCTAAATTAAGTTCAGCCGCTCCCCCACGTAAGTGGCTGTAGCAGCTGGAAGACAGCTGGTGCGGATGCTGCGGGGAGCCTGCGTTTCGATTCCGAAGCGCTGCGCCCTTCGGAATCGGGAACCCTAGATTTTCTTGGGGGAAAATTCAAGGTGGGGGTTGCCTTTCGTGGCCCAGAAGATGTCTCGGGGATATTTGGCCTTGGAAGCGCAAAGTTTGGGGCTCGTGGCTTGGAACCTGGAGGCGCTGATCAGGGCTGGAACTCATTTCCTGCAGCCGGGAAAATCCGTCATGAGAGCGGGGGTATGGGTTCCCGGCTCCCGGGTACCACGGGGTCTTGGCAGTAGGGGACCCAAGGGTTCATCCCTTTCGCAGCTTCCGAAAACAGTCCCCTCAGACTCAGGGAAAGGTCGGTTTTACGGTCCAAGGGCAGAGCCGAAAACCCTAGCCAGCGTCTGTTGTGTGGCTTTGCGTGCTAAAGAGCTTCTGAGGAGTGATTATAATAATTTAGAGGGAAGTGGGGCGCGATGGCTCACACCCTGTAATCTCAGAACTTGGGGAAGCTAAGGTGGGAGTATTTCTTGGGACCAGGAGTTCAAGACTAGCCTGGGCAACAAAACGAGACCCCATATCTACACAAAAATACAAAAGTTAGCTGGCAGAGTGGCGTGCACCATAGTCCCAGCTACTCCGGAGCCTGAAGCAGGAGGATCATTTTAGTCCAAAAGTTTGAGGTTGCAGTGAGCAGTCATGACGCCACTGCACTTGAGCCCCAACAGAGTGAGACTTTATCTCAAAAAAATGAATAAATAGGCTTGGCGCCTGTAGCACAATGGTTACAGCGCTCTCCACATGCATTGAAGCTGGGGGGTTCCAACCGGCCCTGACCAGCTAAGCAACAATGACAGCTGCAACCAAAAAAACAGCCAGGCGTTGTGGCCGGCGCCTATAGTCCCAGCTACTTGGGAGCCTGAGGCAAGAGAATCGCTTGAGCCCAAGAGTTGGAGGTTGCCGTGAGCTGTGAAGCCACAGGGCTCTACCGTGGGCGACATAGTAAGACTCTGTCTCAAAAATAAATAAATAAATAAAAATAAGATTTGGAAGGCTAAATTAATTTTTGTAAACCACGAAGGATTAGAAATACATCGTGTACTCTTTTATCTCTGAAGTTTATTTTGTTTGTATTTTTGAAAACCCTGGAACAATCGTTAAACATTGACAAGGAAGCCATCACAAAAGTGCTAAAACACGTTCATGAGATGAAATCTTACCAGCATTAAAAATAAGTTCATGTTGACCAGAGGCTGATGCCGTATGGGGTAGGAAGGCAGCTGTTATGGTGTTTTCGTTGTTGTGTTTTGATTTTTTTTTTTTTGGTGGGGGCTGGGTTTGAACCCTCCACCTCCACCTCCACCTCCACCTCCGCATATGGGGCCGGCGCACTACCCTTTTGAGCCACAGGCGCCGCCCCTCGTTGTTTTTGAGACAGAGTCTCACTGTGTCACCCCTGGTAGAGTGCAAGCGATGTCATAGCTCACAGCAACCTCAAACTCTTGGGCTCAAGAGATCAATCCTTTTGCTGCAGTCTCCTGAGCAGCTGGGACTATAGGCTCCCCTCACAACACCTGGCTAGTTTTTTTCTATTTTTAGTAGAGAAAGGATCTTTTCCTTGCTCAGGTTGGTCTGGAACTCTTGAGCTCAAGCAATCCACCTGCCTCAGCCT